GCGGATTTGACTTTTCTTTCTTTCCTTGTTTCTTTGTTTCTTTGTTTCTTTCTTTCTTATCCTCAAAGAAACATTCCTTCCTTTTTTTTTTACCCTATCCTTACTGCACCTTCAGATATTCTTTTACACTTTCCCAGTTACCGATTTCTTTTTTCCCCGTTAAGTTTATGCAAATATCTGTTTATTGTTATTTTTCTTATTCCAAATCATTCAATATTTTTCACATTTTCTTTCTTTTCTTAGTTTTGGAATTTTCCTCTCATATCGATGTATTCACACCTATTTTTTCTTCAGAAATGCACGCATTTTTCTGTATCTCTTCCTCTCAACTCCTCCCTACCAGTCTTTTATCTTTTTTATTCAGTGTTGCTTTTTCATTTTTATGGTTTCTTTTTTTTTTCACCATTAATTTATTTCCATTACTCTTTTTCTCATTCTTTCTTTCTTTTTCTCGCATTTCCCTCACTCTCTTTCACACAAGCACATACTGTTTCTAACTCACTCACTCACTCACTCACTCACTCACTCACTCACTCACTCACTCACTCGCTCATGCGACACATACACGACAAATGAGAAATATATATCTTAAAAAATCTAATTGTATTTTCCCTAGCTATGGGAGAAATAGAGATATTTGTATAAACTTGATGAATTGGATTCTTGTCTTTTGGGTGGCAACCAATGTAAGAGAAGGAAAACTCTGAATTCCAAATCGTGGAGAAGGCAACGAGAAACAACCCCAGGAATGTATAGCAATTCACAAATAATTAATCTATTGAGAGTCTGAAGGGATGAGTTAGTTTTTTCTTTTGAAAAATTGTATTTTAATGTCAAGAAAGATTTTTTGCAACAGTTTTCACTTTTGATAAATTGTTTTTTAAAGAAAATATTAAATCGTTTTTACATTATTTCAAAGCATTTTTGAAATTTTATTTTCTTTAAAAAGAATGTTTACTCTTTTATTTGTTATAAATACAAATATGTTGATGTACGATCATGTAGATAGTCGACCATATTGCTTTACTTTATTTCATTCTCCTGGCACATGTTGACGCAATACAGCAAGAGATGTCGGTCTGTTAACTGAACAAGTCAGGCAACCATTTTACAGGACACATGGAGTATTATGGACATCATGTGGGTTGACATTATCCCACTGAAACCTTCGCCTTTTTGTTGTTCAACTCTCCCTCTCTCCATTTACCAAAGACGAGCGGGAGTCATGGTCATAATGCTAGTGTTTTTGGCCTGTCTACCTTGGATGAGTAACTCTGTAGATGTTGTTCCTTAGCTCTACGTCGTACACGCAAACGAACACCCCCCTCGTAGATATGTGTACAATGGCGACGTAAGTGGTAGTATGCCTTGAGCAATATATCCCACTAATGAAAGTAAACTATTCGTAACAGTTCCTTTTGACAATCCTGGTGTTACATATTTCTCCCTGATCGGGTTGGCTGCGGGTCCCCTGCTGTTAGTCCTATGCTGTTTGATAGGTCTTCTATGAGATTGAGATCCGGTAGAAGCGGCGACCACTTTAACACGAAAAAATCATTGCTGTGTTTCATTAATAAATTCACCACCTTTTTTTTTTATTTACAATATTGTGCGTGGCCATCAGAGGTTGAGTGCAAGGTGAATTGAGGCAAGTGGTCAGCCAAAATATCTCCGTAGGCATTTAACGATTTTATTGTTACCAAAGGGCTCAATGCTGCCGAGAAAATATTCCCCTATCTAATAAATCACCACCATCAACCTTAACAGGTGATTCAAGATAGGATGGAACAATATTTTCATGTTGTCGCTGCGAAAATTGAGATTCATCAGACCAAGGAAGGTTTTGACAATCTTTTGTCTAATTTTTGCGATCTTAAGCAAATTTGACTGTCTCAATGTTCAACGCGTTATGCATTCAAAGAATAATCTTCTGTATGGCGCCACTGTAAAAAGTGATTATTTTAGCAATTCTCCTCACAGATGAAGAAGAGACTTGAAGGAACAGAAATGTCATTCTACAGAAGGATGGTGAGAATACCATAGACCGAGCATGTGAGCAACGATGAAATTTTAGAGAAAATGAGAACAAAGAGAACACTTATTCTAAACACCAGGAAAAGACTGTCGAAATTTCTAGGGTGCATAATGAGGAGAGAGGGTTTGGAAAATTTGATACTTACGGAACAGATTAAAGGTAAGATAGATGAATGCAACGCATAACATACCTAACGATTTTGAGTAAAGGTTTAGGAGATATAACTAAAAACTAAATTTATTAAGAGCTACAAAGGGCGCGAAATTGTGGAGAATTTTGAAAAAAAGGCAGCTTTCTACCAGCTTGAATTAATCTCGCCATTTTTCTCTGACTTCTTTCAGCAACAAGGTATCTCCGCCCACCCAATTGACGCGCATTAAATTTTTTTTCTGGCCAGGCCTGTGTAAACGCTAGACATTGTTGTGCATGAAAATCTTTCTCCTCTTGAGTAGTTTTTACTTTTTCTTACTCTGCTCCCCCGTAACTTCGGATGAATCTTCTGTTCCTCTTTAATTTTCCAAATGTACTTAGATAGAGAAGTGCTGTTACAATAAACGATTGTTAAATGGTTGTCATTTCTTTTTTTATATGCACTCCGTCCATCCAATATAATTCAACTGCAACTGCAGCCCTATATATGATGTTACAAGTCAAACATTGTCCATTTAAGTGACAATCTCTTGGTTTTACGTATATATAAATGATTTATCTTCCGAATCGAATATTTCGACACAGATCCACCCATTAAGGTAAGATAAATCAACTGAATATATTAACTGATATCACATTTACTTTAAAAGTCCAATTTTGAATATCTCACTTACCTGAGGACTTTCAACAGCAGCAGCACCTAAAATGGATACCACATGCAACTTGAAGAGAAAATAACGACATAATCAAGATGTTGACGTTCAAAATACTTCTAACAAAAGATTATGAAGGAAACATCCATCACTACTGGAAAGAGTAATAACTGCTACTAGATTTGAGAAACATATTTTCCCGAAAAATTGTTTTAATAGAAGGATTTTATAAATTTAATCTGGAAGTAGCACTGGAAGCTCGGTAAATGAATGTCGAATTTTTTTTTAACCATTTCACTCTAAGGAGGGCGGAAATGCCACTAGTACGCGGGGGGTTACAGAGATTGAAGTGAGAGAAAAGACAGAGATTCCGGATGATTGAGGAAAGGACAAAAGATGAATGGGATCCAAAACGATAGAAGAAAGATGGCGAATGACGTTGCATTTAAACCCTTTTAGGGAAGCAAGTAAACGGAAGAGTGTTCCACAAGCGGAAAATGTGAGAAAAGAAACTGTTGGATTGTAAATGCGGGTAGCTATTTCAATAGAAAACGGGTGGGACCTAGATTAGATGCCAATATAGTAACACGCTTAAATTCTCATATAGTTGAGTCACCAGGGAAAAAAAGATCGTTAGAGCCGCTACCATGAAAATATTTGTATAAAAGATAGAGGGATGCCACGCCACGCCAGTGAGAAAGTGACTGAAGTTGAGATGCCAGTTCTGGATCGATTACATTACAGATCCTTCTTTGGATTGTGTCAAGAAACTCGAGATATATAGCAGGAACACCAGACCAGATATGGCACGGGCGAATGACAGATTTGTAAATGTGCAAGATGTATTCTGGCGAGAAGTGTTTTCTCGCTTGACACATTGACCCCTGCGTTAGATGCAGCTATTGATTCAATGTAGTCGCCCCACTTCAAGTCAGTTGAAAATGTAAGGCTAAGAAGGCATAGTGTGTTGCTCTCCAGTTGTGGAGAGACATGATCACTCACATCCTAAAGTTACATGGTATATAGAAGAAGAAGAAGAAGAAGAAGAAGAAGAAGAAGAAGAAGAAGAAGAGGGTGCATATTTACTTTGGCATGTCTGTATTTATGTATGTATACATGTTTTATGGTGATGTGTATGTTACGATTAAACATTTACCCACAGGAATAAATGTACAAACATACATAAGATTATTTTGCATGCGTGAGAATGTGTGCGTCCGTGTGTACGCTCGAGTGTGCATATGTGAGTATAAATATATACATGTGTGTGTGCGTGTGTGTGGGCATCCCTTAAGCAAAACTGATAATATCGCTATCATTGAAAACTTAGTAAAAACCTTAGGCAAATCTCTTTGTATTATTTTCAGTTTTTTTCTTATTATTTTAAACAAATTTTCTTCTTCATTATTTTTTCTAGTTCCCCTTCTTTTAATTTTATTTTCGTGTATCGACAATCTCTTTTAAGTTGATGCTTCGAGCACATCAAAGTTTCTCATCAGGTCATATCATTATTGCAAGTGACTGATGTTGCGTATACATGCACACACCCAAGTTAACACAGTCATGTGTGTATGTATTATAGCATATTAAAGTGATCAGTCCATGAAAATAGTCATCACTCATGAAAATTTGCAGAATGCTCGTCATTCTCCTGTGGCGAATGCATGCTTGTCGGTTTATAAATACGTACCCGTGTCAAATCCATATCAGCATGGCATGATGGCCACGGGATTCCATTTAATCTTCTATGTGCCGTCTCCCTTCAGGTTGTCGACAGTCATGACTACACACAATTTTCACAAGCTCGTTAATTAGGTTATGCGCTGTTTCTCTTTGCCCCTCTTTCCTTCAATATGTCCTGTCAGTGCCAAGATTTCTAAGCCGTCTTTCCACATGTCCTAGAAAATTCAGCTTTCTGATGTATGTGCCTTTTTGTTTCTATTTTCTCTAAATCTTCGTCATTGTTCACAATGACAGTATATAGTTTTTGATGTTCTTTGCGTTTAATTGTAAACGATGTTGTGTATCTATGTGAATTGACTGCTCTATCCCACAAGTAATATAAGCAGTGGTGGCATCCTACCGGTTCGTGCGCACAGATTCTTAAGATTATAAAAACTTAGCGGACCAGTTGTTGTATTATCCGAAATATTAATATTAATAGCTGACGGTGTATGTAAAATGTTAGTGAAACTCTTATAAGGAAATTAACATTAATTTTCTGTCGTTAATTCTTGGGCATTCGAAATTCCAATATACGGACATTATTATTTTAATCTCGAATTCCAATCTATCGGGGTTATCGCAATTTTTCAGCTACATTTGGATATTCGAAATTCATACATGAGGAAATTAAAATTACATTTTACTTTCTGCCGCTCTTGGGTATTTGGAATTGAAATTTAAAAAGTTATCATTATTATTATTTTTCAAACATTATTTGACTTTTGAAATTATTTTGCTTTTAACTATTCTTGGATATTCAAAAATCCAATATATGAAGTTTGTTATAATTCATTTTTTCTTCTCGGACATATTTGGAAGTTCAAAGTTCAAATATAAAGAGATTAACATCAATGTACGTTCAAAATTTTAATATAAGGAGGTTAACATTAATAATAAATTTTAATATAAGGAGGTTAACATTTTTCAGCCATTC